GTTGCCACCGCTAAGCTGCGCTGGCCATGGGGACCAAGGGGTGTCCAGCCGGCAGCTCCGGGAATGCGCCGGGGAACGAGGCCCCGCTTGGGAGCGCCGGCTCCGACATCCGCCCCGTTACCTGCTCCAGGGACGCAGCAGCCGCGAGCGCGACGCGCGCGGCACTCACCGTACCCCGTGGTGGGCAAGCCCAGGTGCTTCATGCGGTTTTTGACGAGCTCGGAGAGCTCCTGGCGCTCGGAGCGCCGGTAGAGGCTCAGGCGCTGCTGGCTGATCCACTCGGCCGTCTTGCTCGCGTGCTTGTTGCCCTTGCGGCTCAGGCGCCGGGCCCACTGCATGCTCTTGCGCCGCAGCAGCGGGTGCTCCGACTGGTCGCTGGAGCACGAGTTGCGGTGGTGGCCCGTCTTGATGCCCCAGTGCTCCTTCACGTCCTTGGTGTCCTCGCAGTCCTCCACGTTGATGGAGATCTGTGACTACAAGCCCAGCGGGTCATGGGTGGCCACCGCGCTCAGGGGGCTCCCGATGGACCCCATGGTGCTGCAGGCACCTTCCCCTCCTTGGGGATGGCCATTCCCTGCTCCATGCATGCACGCTCGCCTAGCGCGGCGGCTCTGCGCTGCCAAAACTCCCTGGGCAGCCAAGTTGGGACAAAAATGTCCAATGCAAGACAACGTGGAGGCAGGCGACATCCATTCCAATAAATTGGGCCTGTGGTGGCTTAAGGATGGGCATTGGTATTGCCTCCCCCCATGCCATGGCATGGCAGAAACGCAAAGGAAACCCCCCAACGCGCACAAAGGCCGATGCAAACGCTACTCACCTGCGCCCTGATGTCATGAGGCTGCAATGGGGGGAAATAATAAAAAATGAAATAACGGTGTCACCGCAGGTTCGCAAAACCAGCCCTGCAACACCGTGCTGCTGCCGAGCCGCTCACCTCGGAGGTGGCGAACATGTGCGACTCCGTCCTGTAAATCCCAATGGGAATCTCAGCGCTGGATGAGCAGAGCTTCTGGAAGAGGCGGCCGTACGTCCGGATCCACAGGTCGTCCTCGGTGATTTTCATCTGAGCAAAATAAGGACAGAAGTCGCACGGTTCTCCCTGTGCTCTTGGGCAGCAGTGGGGTGCGGAAAGCTGCTTCCACGCTTCCCCCAAACCCAGTGATTCCAGAGCCCAAAACAAGCTGGAGAAGAGCAGGGGCAAATCCTTGTCCAGCCATTGGAGAGGCCATGAGGGCTCCTGGTGGCCCTGGGCTCCCCACATGCAACACAGGGGATGATGGAGCGGCCTCTTCTGCCCAATTTTCCTCCTGCCCGGAGGCTCCAGGCAGGATGAGGGGACCCCGAGGTGCAGGTTTCAACACGCGGGAACTTGGCACCCACCGCACAGAGGTAGCCCGAGCCCGGCGTGGTGTCGAGGCCCAGCAGCAGCCTGGTGATGGTGATCATGTAGTCCTTCACGAACGACTGGCGGGAGACATGGGCACAGAAAGGATGTGTCCAGTCAAGCCCTGGACGTGCTCTTAGCCATGGAAACAGCCCCGACACGTGGGGGACCTTCCCGCGTCTCCGTGTCCCGTGGAGAGCCCCTTGCTGCCGCCCCGGCCGTGGGCTCACCTGGTAGAGCAGCGTGTCCAACATGCTGATGCTGAAGACCCTGCCGGCGGCGAAGGGCAGCCGGAACATGAAGGCCAGGTTGGAGCCGTTCTCGCGCTCTTTCTGGAAGGGAGAGCAGCAGTGGAAGCCCCCGCGCCGCTCACGTCCCTCCACCGTGTCAGCAAAACCACCCGGCGCACGGAGCGTCCCTGCTCTTGAGGCACTCGCTGCAATGCTCCCAAAATGGCCCAAAGCCCAGACACAGAATAAGCACAGAAGCAACGGAAGGATGCAGACAGCCCAAGGATCAGTTGGCCACACATTTGTTTGCTGCAGGTTGTGTGGGACAGAACACCTTAACTATGGCAGCTACAACATGCGGGAGAGCACAACACCACAAAGAGATCTGAATTAGTATGAACTCTCCAAACTTTCACACAAAGAAAGACTTTCTCTTACCTTCTCTAGCTTGGAAAGGGCTAAGGAGTAACTGTCCTTTGCTCGGAACTGCATGAACCTCATGTTGGAGGGGTGGGTCAGCTCCGTGATGATGCTGAGGCTGGGGAAGAGCCTGCAATGGGAGAGCGCCTTGTTTCTGTTCTGCTCAGAAATAGAAAGCCTCCAGCATCTAAAGCTTTAAGCATAGCCTGAGGAAGGCCAAAACCATCTGTGTGACTATCGGAGGGCTGGGAATGGGATTGCTGTTCCGTAGTGTAAGCCCAAATGCAGACAGGATGCACTTGCCATCCTCAGCACCTCCCACCTTCGCCCTTGCTTGTGCTGCTGCCAGGAAAGACAAGTGCCTGTGACATAATGACAGAGCCAGTGCCGCAGTCACCTCTCACCTGAACATGGTCTGGACGTTGACAATCGTCTTTGCATCCGCCATGTAGTCCTCTTCGGCGCTCATGGTGCTCTCCTTGTCCACGACCACCAGGTTGTCCGCATAGATGATCCCGCACTGCAGCAAGCTGTCCAGGCTGGTGGGTTCCCAAGGGAAGAGCAGAGTCACCCCCTCGGAAGAACCCACGGGAGCAGGATGCAGAGACTGGGCTTGGGGACCCTGCTCAGGAACCCTCCAGGGAGAAAGCTTAGAACTAGCCTGGCCTATCCTCACCCCCAGCATCTGCCCTGCTCCCTCTCCCAGAGCCCGTTGGTCAACCCAAGTGCTCAACCCAACCCAAGGTGCCACAAGCTCTACACGGCAGCCAATGCTGGGGCGTCTCCTGGTTCAGGATGGCTCCCATCTTCCCTGCTACTACAGGCAGGCAGATGTGGAGCTTGGGACACTCACTGCACCATAAGGAACTGCAGAAACACCTACTTATCAATCGTGCCTTCCATGTAGTAAACCATCGGGAAACAGCAGATTGCCTCCAGGAAGTGGTGCTCTGGCCTGGAAGAAGGATGACAAAAAGCAGGGCAGTTCAGTAAACCCAAGAGAGGCAAAGTCATCCATGCACAGCATTCCCAGGCCCATGGGAGGAAGGGCTCCGTACTCCAGGCACAACCCCGGGGCCGCAGTGTCACCCCTCAAAGCCCAGGGGAATTAAGCCCAGGGCTTGGTGCAATGGGAAACCTCCAAGGGGAAGTACTTGCTTGTTGTCCAGCAGCAATACGATGGGGTTTAGCTCTTTTCGGGACCGATAGTACGCACGAAGCGGGACGATGAAGTTATACAGCCCATTCCCGGCAGTCTCTGCTGAAACTATAATCAGTTTGTTCTTAAACCCATAGGCCTTGGCGTCTTCAAAGCTGTTGTGTTTGCAGCCCTGTGTGGAGAAACGGGAGTGCGAAGTTCAGCACCCAGCTCACAGCCGCCCGCTCTGACCCTAAACCCCAGCAATTCGGGACAAGGAGTCGCCCCACTTCAGGAGGAGCTGCCCTGCTCCAGCCCTGCTGCTTCACACCTTGTCCAGCCGCAGGCAGCAGAATGGAGCTTTCTCTGGAAAAAGGTGGCACAGGGTTGGCGAGCTGCCGATGTACGGGGAGTTTGGCGGGTAGCCTTTGACATACCTGCAACAGAGGGAAAACCCGACGGTAGAACGTCATGGGGAGCGTTTTCCATGTGTACAGAAATCAGAGGCTTGAGAAGCAGCAGTAGGAGCATAACAGCCCACCCCAGGTGATCCCTTTTCCCCGCTGTCCCATAGCAGTTGGGAATTCTCCAAAATACACATGTATTTGTGATTGCAGGGGGCCCTGGAATAGCCTCCCTTGTGTTTCTCTACCAGTGGTGCCAGGCTCAGCCTCACCAAGGCTCAACATGGGCAGTGGCGGCAGATCTGCCCGGCCACCAAGGGCAACTCACTCCACCACGGCCGAGCCCTCCTCGTCCGACTGCGTCATCTCGTCCTCCGACTGGTCGCTGAGCAGGTCGCAGGGCAGCAGCGAGGAGGTGTCGGCCAGCTCGAGCACGGGGGCGATGCTGGGCCGCCGCGTGCCCGCGCCGTTCTCGGCCGGCAGCGCCAGCTTGCTGCTGTTGATGGGGCGACACTCGGTGTTCTGCAGGTCCATGGCTACTGTACCTGGGACGGGGAAGGGAGCAGAGCGAGGGGCTCGGTGAGGCGGCGAACGGCACCGGCAAACCCACAGGCGCAGCTGGAAACCGCAGCCGAGAGCCTCAGCTGGGGCTTCATCAAATATCCGTTTATAGGTGCTTGCAAAAGCCAGGAATGTCACAGCAAGCTACACGCAGGAGCTGGGAACATTCCCCCCTTGCACCAGCCACCGTCTGACCACAACAGACCCACTGGAGCCC